TGAAGGCCACATCCTCGAGATGTGTGCGTCCAATGGACGTGTTTGGCGACCAAAAGTCAGCTCAGCTCAAGCACAGCTCTCCTCAAGATGGCAGCCCAAACTTTTTAATGATGCCGCAAAGTCGTTGCACCAAGTTCAATGCACATTCAGGGCCACGGAGGCATACTTCAGATTGAAAGAGGCACGAGTAGATATTGAAACCGAGAAGGGGATGCTGCAGGGATTTACTTGTCGTTCAGTCGAATGTTTGGCACAGCTCTGAGAGATTTGAATCTGGAACTTGGCAAAGTGAAAGTTTTTAGCCATTCTTCAATTGGTCCAAATGGAAAAAAGTTCACTAAATAGTTGACACCGATTCATAGGGGGTTTTTCTCAGATTTTAAGATTTCAAGTAGAAAAATAACACAACAGCATCTTTGGAGTCACAGGAATGGCTTTTAATGATAAATAATAATTTGAAGGTAAAAAAGGCTTTAAAGGTAAAAAAGCTGTTTAGCCGTAGAAGCCGCCGCCGCCGGCCGATGCGGATGACGATGCTGAGGCACTGGCACCTCCAAAACCACCGCCGCCGAAGCCGCGTCGTGGATAGAAGCCACCACCATAGCCGGGATATCCTCCGCCGAAGCCTCCATAGCCGCCAGGATAGCCGCCTCCGAAGCCTCCATAACCGCCAGGAAAGCCACCGTAGCCGAACTGAGGAGCCGGCACCGCCTCCAGGACACTGAGGAGCGCGAATATAACAACAACGAACACGATGGCTGCTTTCATATTGCTTGTTTAGCTTAGATCTTTTCGTTGGAAACTGTCGTTGGCTCCGAGCCGTACGGCCTATTATATAAACGGATTTTTGGTTCAACAACCCGCTTGGCTGGTTCTGGAGACTGCCAGAGGTGTGTGTGAGAGTCGACAAATCGCTGGCCGAAAACGAAAACAAAATATGATTTGGCAAACTTTGCGCGCGCGTAATCAATCCCCCCGGGCACTGTGATTGAACCCGTTTTGTGGTCTAACCTTTTCGAGAGCGGCGGCAAAACAGAAACGACACTCACGCGTTTTTATTGTGGGATTTTGGGAATCACTTCTGCAGTTCGCGTATTAGCATAAAATAAAATACAAAAATACGATATATTGTCTGTTATAATTATATGTATAAAATTTCATCTGGCTTTGTTTTTCGGCTTAGTCACACAAACACACACAGGCTTTGTATCGTATTTATTATACATTATGCTAATCGAGCCGGTCATTAATCGCATTTCTATTCGAATCGCTCTTGGCATCTGATGTTTCGATTCGGACAGCGACATCCCTTTAAATGGATTGTCTAGCCTGCATAATGGTGTGTTAGCGTGTTTCCTTTTTAAAAAATATAATTTTAAGTCTGGGCGTATTTTGTATTCTCATACTTTGGATGCTGTTTTCTGTTTCATCTACTCGAAAATTTCATATGTCTGTCATTTATACTTGAAATTGTGTTCTTTCTTCTGAAACCCACTTTTCGGAGTGGATTTTTAGTGGGATTCACACATGATACAATTAGAATTGAAATCGATAATAATTATAATTGATTTATAGCATCTGAAATCCAATTAACACCTTCGATTTTATTCAAACATAATTTACTTTTAATTCAACAATCTGATTCATATTTAAAATATTTGTAGTAAAGCCAATAACCTGACCTTGGTATACTCAAATTCTGTTTTATTCCATTCCAATTCGACATCTTGGAAAGTTTGAAGATGTTTTGATAATAGAGGGTTGCTGTGGTTGGGATTGCCTTTCAGGTTGAAAAACCTGTTTTCTATTGTAAGAACAATTTATTGATTTTTACCCTTTTAGACGTCTTCTGAAATTAGCACATTGCTGTGAATAACATTTTGAACACTGAAACGTAGAATAAATACGACTAGAATCCTATGAATTTGTGGTAGATCATGGAGAGCTTTTACGCATATGATAGGCGCAGGTTTCGGATATTTTGCAGATCAATACCTGGTCGTTTTCAGTCAGAAGAATATAATTTCTTACTTGACTCTCCGCTCAAAAACTTAAATAAAATTCTACGTAGATAATAATAAAATGTGTTTTCCAAAATTAACAGATACGATTGTAGTTACAAACCGTGACGCCATTACTTCTCGTTGCAGTCATATCCTTGCCGTCGTGTGGCACTTAGTCTGCAATGCCAACTATCCCACGGACGCAACGATCCGATATGGAGGCTTTCTGGTTGATCCTGATGACGCCTATTCGCTATTTCAATCCGACTCCGACTTTCTGGCTATCTTTCGGAGTACGGATATCAGTGTCTGTAAAACACTAAAAATTAAGGGAATGCACGAATTCGAATGCGTCGGTAGAAATGACAATACATGGATAATCACAATGGAATACAGTCATCTGATTTGTCTGAACTATACCTTCGGATTGGTGAACGAGCTGGCCGAACATTGTACAGGCTCAAAATTGGGTCCAAACAGATCTTCGGCCTTGTACTACGCCAATATAGAGTTGGTTTTGAAACATATCGTATCGGTTCTAAGCTGCGGTTTGGCTCCTAGCTCAAATATTCTGGTATTAATTGTTTCGTTCTTCTTTCTGATACTTGTCGGTTCACGTTGGCGCTAAGAATGAAATAAATTTCCCCCTTTTTAAATGCCCCATGAAATGTATCCATCAAATTGTGACATATTTTGACAGTACTCAAAACTAAAGATGCTGTCAGTACACAAATCTTTTCCTGTGTCGGCTTGGAACTTAAGAAGCTGTCAGTGCGATCTCCTCTTCCTTCGTCTCTGGCCCCATGTCAACGATCGCATCGCATCGCAGTTCCCTTTCATCTGACAATGTTGCCCTTGTCATGTGTGCCACATTTGTGGGGGGGACCCCACCATCGGATGCGTGTAGAAGCATCTGTGCGGAGCCCTCATTCATTAGTCTCCTTATAAATAATTGCTTTTTAACAGAGGCAAAAATTATCACCTAATTATAGAGCTCGACACAGGAGATTCCAACGCGTGGCATTGTAGGGAAATTATGTTTATATGTTGATATTGAAATATTATTAGGTAGGTAATAAGCAGAGGATTACTTGGAATATCCACCATAAAGGTGAGTTTTGGAAAAGAAATTCAGAAATATATTACTGCCAGAAGACTTAGGTCTATCCAATTTAGGTTTCTTTGAAATATTACCTTGACCCATGCACATCAACTGTCCAACGCCAAGCTATTCCGAATTGGTCCTCCAGGTGAGTGCTATATGCAATGAATGCCATATTTTTGAGGCTGAGCAGACATTCGCAAAACTCTCCAGCCATTCCTCACATAAGGACCTTGTTTGCTCTGGCATTTCCGTTTGCCATTTGATTTGACAGGACGCTACTCCACTGTGTGTGTGCGCTCCTGTTCTCTGTGCTTTCTGTGTGTGTGGGTCCATAAATTTGTATTTCTCTTTTGTGGAGAAGAGCACTTCTGCAACATGTTTGCCTGTCAGCAAATGTCGTCGTTCTCGGCAACAATTTGCCGCATCGCAGAAGGACAAAACGCATTTTTCCATCGGTCCTGTTCCAGCTATTTCAGCTCTTCCTGCTCTGCTCCTCCAACATTATTGCAATTTGGTAAATATTGTAAAAATGTTTTACGCTCTGAGTGCCGTTCCCCATCGCTTTATGCAAATTAGTAGCAGGAACGATTCCACATTCCGAATGTTAATTTGCATTTTCCGCTGTTGTTCACCGCTCCCGGCTTGTTTGGCTCTGTCATGTTTGGCCTGCGGATAAAAGAGGAATTTTTATTTGCATTTAAATATATTACATACTTGTTAACCTTTTCCATCTAGCAGCAATGGATGTGGATGGGGGTCTCCCACTGGCCGCCTAGGATGGATGGAATCTCCCACCACTCTGACTTTGGATGTCCTTTTGTGTGTTTTCCTCCATCGAAAACTTTTCGGAATGCGTTCGGTTTGAGCTTTTTTCCTTGGATCCTTGAGCTACACAATGCAATGCACATTCATTCTATAGTATTTTATTGTATTTCTACTGCCAATCTGTCTATTTTAATTGCGTTGAAAGACCGACTTGGCCGCAATCTTAATCTACTCTGATTGCGGCTACGCCTTTGATAACGTTTGTGGCTTTTCCACAAAGTTTTTCCGACCCTCGCCCTTTGTGTTTGTGCGTGTGTGTGTGTGCAGTATCTCTGCTGCTCCTCGTCTGCTTATTTGTTTTGACTTTAATTAAGTTTTATTATACAAATTAACACATGCGGGTGAAAAATCACAAACATCCACACACGAACATAACCCTTGAGCTGCTCTCGGTCTCGGTCTTGTGCGTGTGTCTGTGTGTGTGTGCATCTGTGGATATACATTTTTAATTAAATCATATTACTAAGTAAATAATTAAATAAGCCATGTCAATTTCATACGCCACTGACAGTTTAATAAATGGAAATCTTTTGCATATTGAGTAGGAGTAAATTGCCTGTAGCTCAACAGGATGATGAATTCCATCCAAAGTGCCAAAAGGATGGGGTTGCAAGACGAGTCAAAGTGTAGCCTTGAATTAAAGGGAAGTGCTTTAAACTTTAATCAGATGCGATTTTCAAAACAGAAACCGATTCAAGATTAATGCAAGATAAATAAGTAGTGCGTATAGTCTTTATGCTTGGAAATTAGAGACCAAAACCATCGACATATAATTGCCTAATAATTAACTCAAAAGTGGTCTCTAATTGTCACAATTGACGCAAGGCATTAAAAGCCTAAACGAAATACAATACGTCTTCTAAAGATTTATAAAATTAAACTGATTTACTTAAAGTATTATCCAATTAAAACATCAACGAACATTCTCTTAGAAGCTGTTATATATTTTAGTTCTCTTCAGTATGTCACATCTCATTTAGTATCGTATAAATATAAATATTAGTCAGGTAGGTAAATATGTATGTTAATTTGTAATACATTTTTCAACTTTAATACAATTTAGCTAATTGAAATACACACAAGTGAGTGGACGTAGTAACCTCACGGGGCCCATTAAAAGATTGCGGTCCTCATCGCCATCGCCATCGCCATCGCCGTGGTGGGCATCGTCGTTGCTGTCATCAAAGCGGCGGATAAGCATTCTTGGCATAGTTGGCTGCCACACAATAGTTGGTGGCCCCAAAGAAGGAGCACATGCCGTTGCCGTTGGAGGGATTCGTTCCGAATCCCGCATAGCAGTTCGTGTAGTTCTGGCAAGAGCGCAGCTCCAGCGGTGCAAAGTTTAGGGCATATGCCCCGGGCGGGGGCGGTGGCGGTGGGTGGCTCATGTTCGCATATTTGTGCATGGTATTGCTGAGGGGCGCTGGCACCAGTTGGGATGCGGTGTCCAGCAGTGGACGGGCGCCCACGCTTCGTTCGTTGCGGCGGAATTTTGCACGGCGATTCTGAAACCAGACCTAGAAGCAGGCGTTTAAGGTCTTATTAGAAGAGCTATCAAATGAGCGCCAGTCAACGCTGTCCATAACATTTCTCTTTAAATGAATCACTTGAACACTTTCCTTAGCATTTCTCAAACCTCTAAAAAGCTAGAAAGCTTAGAGCTCCCTGCGGTTTCTCTCACCTGCACTCGTGCCTCGCTTAAATGCACCTTGGTGGCCAGCTCCTCGCGTACAAACGCATCCGGATAGTGGGTTCTCTCGAACACCTTCTCCAGGGCCGTCAGCTGGGCGGAGCTGAAGGTGGTGCGATTCCGTCGCGGTTTCCTCGAGTGTCCCGTCGAGAGATTGCTGGTGCAGCCACTGGGACCGCCACCGCCGCCTGCAACGGAAGGGGGGCAATTAAGAAGCCATTAAAAGGAGAATTTTCTCTTTTAGTTTTGGGTTTTAGCTGGAGGTGAATGCAAAATCCGTCTGACGGACGGACGAACGCAGGGGCGCCTCGTAAATAATCGATGAGTGCCGACGGGTATCAATTAATTTGGCAGCTCAGCTAAGAAATTTCGTTACTTTTATGGGTTGTCGAGAACACATAAAATTTTGCATTCCGTTTGATCCTTTGGCTGGGGTCGGAGTCGCGCATTGGGGATAGCAATAGCTGAGATGAAGGGATGGGGAAAGATGTGGGGGTCATAAACAAATGGCATGAACCATAAAATATCTTTTGACGACATCGGCGGACAGCTGTATACTAATTTCCACGTTGGTCCCCGGCCCGACAATCCAACAAACAAGAGCTAACAAATTTACGATCTATTAATTAAAGTGAAATTGTGACATTAAGCGGTCGTAAGCGAGCTCTCTAGCTGCCGTTAATTGATTTTCCATTGAATTTTCCTTCTTGTGGAAATCGTTTTACGAAATATCATTCTCATTCTCTTTCATTCGAAAATTTCTATTCTGGTTATAATTGGGGAAGGCGCCGCCACACGATGCAAGCGTCTAGCATGACTTTTCACAGAAATGGTTCATATTCCTCAAAGGAATAATCATCTGACATAGAGAACAAAACAGATAAGCTGTAGATAATGAAGCTATTCATCTGCCGTTTATCTTTCAGTTTGATGATTGAAATATACTATACATACTCTGAGAGTGCTAATTAAATGATAATTCTTATAATTCGAGTTTTCAGATCACTAAAATCTATGCACACTCTGAAAATCTGTCTCGTAGTCAGGCAGCGCTTGTTCTTGCTTCAGGGTGGCCCACCGCCATGACTGTCCCCATCAACATCCAGAGTACTGCTCCTACCCACGACATTTGTCTCAATTTGTCAGCAAAGCTGTCCACAAAGTTGGGAATGCATCGTAGATCAGCTTGGAGTACTCCACCGAACCAAACCAAATAGGAGAAAACAACCCAGAGATGAATGCACCGCTCCACAAACCATCTCCCCGGGGAGTGTGAGCGATGGGAGGAAGATCTTTAGTTTGAATTGCCAACGAGCGATAAAAAACAGTTGCAGCTTAATAAAAAACCAACAAATCGAAAGGGAAACCTCAATCAGATTTCACTGGGAGATATACATACTACGTAGAGTGAGAGAGAGGGGTACGTACTGAACTAGGGATGAGAACGGCATGTTAAAATCCAATGGAGCGACGAAAATAAACGCAGAGCGAACAGAAGCTGGGTGCGTGCTCCGTCTGGGAATGGTTACATCGGTACATCGGGACGGGACTGGCGTTTTATATGCTCCACTTGGAAATTATAGTCGTGGCCGTCGGCTGCCGTCGACTCGGGGTGGGGAGGGGAGGGAACAGAGCCTACCCGTGCCCGGGTCCGTCCTCGGATCGCTTCAAAGGCATGCGGCCACTGAGGGAATATCATGTCAGCTTTGATTACGTTTTGTCATGTTGACAATGTTGAAGTGTTGTCGGCTCGGAAATGTTTCCTCTGCCACAAAAAAAGAAAGAGAACACCATCCACGAAGGGAGGGGACAGAACGGGCAAAGTTTATGAGAACTGGTTACAAATTGTTCTACAAGAACCATGGCATAGGTTTTCATAGTATATCATGCGGAATATGACAACAGGCAGCAATATGTTGACAGTTTTGATTGTGGGTTGCATGGAGGTGTACGAGTACGAAACTGAAAAAGTGCATAAAGATGGCATTGCGGAGCGGTGAACAAATGTCGCCCACATCTGGCACCTAATTGTCATCCATGAGTGGTCCACACAGCACGCACAGCACAGCACAGCGCAGCACACATTCAAGTAGTACGAGTATCTACAAAGATACATACATACATATATCTATAATATGTGGCTAAGTGCATACACTTGTGCGGTTAATGTCATAAAGTCAGAGCTTCTTAGCTCGTAGCTCGTTTCGCAAATGAATTTATCATTTATGAATACGGCTCACGAACACTCACGATAAACCTCACAAATTACCTGCGTATATCTAACCGGATTTCTGTGGCAAACACCTTCTGCATTAGGCATTCCTTTCCCCATACATACAGACATACAAACGAGTAGATGATAACATTAGCGAATTGTATCAAATGGGGTCCACTTAAAGTTTAACGAAAACCAACTATCAATTGCCTTAAAGTCAGCCTCCTTAAATATGTTTTGTTTCCGTGTGGTTGGATAAATTTGTTCAATTTCGCCTCATGGAACTTCAGCTCACCATAATTGTTACTGATTTCCATGGAAAGCTTGCCCTTGGCATAGACATCGTGCTTCAGTTCGATGAGATTGTCCACCGAGAAGCGATGCATTTTGTCCAGGTCCCTGGCAGTGCCGTCGCGTTCGTGTAGTTTTTCCTCGGCATCGAGATTGTGCGACGGATGCGATGGATAGGACTCGCCGGCGGCTGCTAGGGGATGTGATCCCGTCGGGCCGTAGTAGAAATTGCTGGCATTGCCGCCGGGCAGAGAGTGTAATTGTGGCTGATAGTTCAGCATGGCTAACGGATCGACTTTCACTTTTCAATCAATGTGCAGAAACACTTTCGACTAATCGCGTATTGAGATTGGGGATCATTCAATTGAATTTGAGAGTCAAATTGAATTCTTCATTTGTCAGAGCCAATTGAACGATGATTGAATTAATTTCCTTTATTTGCGCTCGCCAAGATTGGGGGCATCCTGCGCGAACTTGGTAATTGGATTAGCACACAACACATAAACGAGTTAATTACGATAATTGTCGCGACGATACTAAACCGTGCCAAAGTCGTGTGCCCACTGAAATTAGCCTCAAAATCGAAAGAGTGTGCGCTCGCCTTGCGTGGCCTCGCTGAACGATCCAACGATCCAACGATCCCAAGATCTTAAGAATACGAAACATATGTCAGCAAGATCTTTGCTCTCTTTCCGACTGCGCCTAATTATAGCCTCGGATCTACCATTGGCCGATGTGTCTTGCCTTTCGCTCTCTTCCATTGCGTATCCGACATTTTGGGGGCGTTGCCGGTGCATCGGCGGTGTATGTAGTATCTGGAAAACTGTTTGAAATACGAGGTGAAAAGTAGCAACAAGTTTTGGGCATTTAAGTAGCAATAAATACCAATTAGCCGGAGGGCTTGTCCACACAGTTCCCTTCCATTGTCCTGGCTGTCAACACAGGCACCGGCCATGTGTTGTGGCGTTGCTCCAGTTTCGGGCTCGGGCTCGGGCTCGGTTTCGGTTTCGGTGCTCTCATTCAGTAGCGCAGGATGTGCATCTGAAGTAGTTTGTGCAACATCAGGGCATAAATCTTGGCACGCACAATGTTTGTCATCTTTCCAGAGCTAATTTCCATAACCACAACATGCTGTTAATTTTCTCCTACCATATGCCCGAGGCGAGTGCAAGGAACCCATCATGATGGCAGTCGGAAGGAGGATGGCATTGCTTGGCTAAGTGCATGTCTCCGGATCCTTCGGACTGTTCAGCTGTGTTTGTCTTTACCTTGCAAGGTGTCTCCAGCAGGATGTGTGTTTCTGTCAATCAATGGGTTTGCCTCTGATTATCGATAGCTATGTATGTTCGATATAAATATTGGTTACAGCTGGCTTTACATTTCGACATACATATGTATGTCCTCTCTGGATTCATGATTTCTATCGGTTTCCGTAAACTTTATGACTTTAATCCACCATTTTCTTGACATACAACCCACATCAAGGCTTTCTTTTAGACCTGCTCGTAACTATCAAAACCCTGGCTCCTGCTCATTAGTCGGCCAGGCATAAGCTCGCTATTAATATTCTAATATTGTGGGCATCCTTGGAGAAAATGCTGACTTACATTTTCCCTTCCAAATTGAGCTGTCACAAAAGTTTATCCAAACTACTTGACACTTCGCTGCCGGTTTTCGGCTATTTTCCTCACCTGCTGCAGGAGCAGGACTCAGCCTCGTTCGGTTCGTTTCTTCTAAATTATCTCACGTTTTCGTGTGCCAAAAGTTCTTGAGGAATGTTGCGGCGTGTATTTTTAATAAAACTTCAAAGTTTTCTCTACTCGCTACGGTTTACTGTATCCCGCAAACGTTTTTCTTCCCTCTCCTTTCGGGCTCCTGCATTGCCCTGCTCTACTCTACTCCTTTATTCTTTCGCCTTTCGTTGGAATTCTTTGTCACGAAGCATTTCTCGCGTGGTGCTGGTGTTCTGCGGGTGTTATCCATGTAATATGGTTACCCGGGCAAACTTTGTGCCGCGGAAATTCTTCTGGCAAGTCGGAATTTGAGGAGACAGTTTTAATGTTGTCAGATAGCGGGAAAGTAACTAAACTTGTCAGGCTCTCAGGAGGGGCCAGGATGAGCTCAGGTAATGTCGATTATTATGTGATAGCTATGCTATGGCTATGGCATGAACATGATTGGAGTATGCAACATTTTGAGGCAATCACAAGCTACACATCAGATGTACATCGTCTATGGGAATCGCTAAGCCAGATCGACAGCTCTCCTAGTTTCCCGCACACACTTAACAATTTCAATTTCCTTTGAGCAGCTCAGAGTGGTGGAGATTTGCCAAAGTTCCTTTGAAGTTCATGTTGTTTGTCGAGAAAATGAATTTCACTTGACGGCGATTATGTGGCAACCGTTTAAAATGTTGTTCTTTTTGTTGCTCCCTTCGCGAAAGTTTTGTAAAACATTTCCGATGTATTTCAGAATATTACCAAACCGAACGGCGAACCGGAACCGCAGAACCAGCCATTGGAATAGCAAGACCTACATGCATCCCAGTCCCGATCCCGGTCCCTGTCCCAGTCCCTCGTCTGTGTCAAGGGTGTCGTCTAAGCCCGAAATGCCAGACACGAATGGCACACGCTTTCTGACGGTATCCGAAAGGGGGCTGGGGCTGGGGCTGGGCCTGGGGCTGCGGATGGAGCAGGGGAGTTGCTTCGGAAAGAGCTACGAGGGGTGCAAAAGTTTTGCCTAAATCACTTAACAGAAAACAAGTGTTGGCATGTGCCCCGCTCCGTCGGACTTCCTCCCCCTCTGGAGCAGTCGCTCTCTCTGAGGCTCAGTCTCGACTCTCTGCCTTTCCGCCCAGCAGAAATATCACAAAAGTTACAGTATGAAAACTTTTGTGCTACCCATTAGAGGGTCAAAGATAGCCGGTCCTGTTGGGATGAAGAAAAGCGACTGAAAATACTGATATAATTCATTGGGAAATATATAAAGCTAAAGTATTCAAAGTATATCAATCCCAATCCCATAATGGTTTCCACTAATGAAATAATTACGGCTTTTACGGGGTATCAATCAAATATGGCTTTGTTTCTTAGATTTTCTTGGGAAGTCCACGAATGTTGTAGGTATCAGGCAGCACAACAGTTGACGGCAAATGAAATATAATAACAAGAATGAACCGGAAGCATCAGGCAGGCGTAACTTTTGCCTGATTTGCCACGCCTTCTACACATTCGCCCCCGACCACGCCCAATTTTTTGGGCCATTGCGTAAACAGAAAATCAATTACAGGGTGCATATACGAGAAGAAGAAGGTTGACAGGCGCCCAGGCGATGGGCATGCCCAAAGAGCAACAGTGAATGCCACGAAAATGGTATGGACTATGGTGATACCTAGTAGCGAGCACTGTTCTGATTATAATCAATGGTCTTTGATTGGGGAACACGTTTCCAGGAATCATAGAATTTCTATCTGAGGATTGGTTACTGCTTAGGTGATAGGTTGCTGTGTTTTTGGTTCTTATAGTATTATAAAAATACTGATCTCAGGACCACAGTTAGAGGAGTGGCCTCTCAACTGAGGCAGAAAATAGTTTATGGCTAATGAATGTGTTTGCCCGTTACAAGCTTTTCAACCAACTTGTCACTCTCAGACTGCCATTCGGTCGGTTAGGGGATATGGCACGGGCACGGAGTAAGGGTATAGCAAAGTAAAGGGGGATTTACATTAATTACGGCACGCAAAAGCTTCTTGACTTTTAATATGACATAGGCCCAGTATTGTACACTTTCTCCTTCCCTAGTTTCGGACTCGTTGTCAGCCACCATATAAAACGCATGAATATTTTATACTACCACCCCTGTAGCCAGTGGCTTAGGGTTTCAGGGGGCAGGGCCGAGTTTTAAAAGCCATGTTGAGAGAGTTTCGGGCTCCTCCAGGCCGCACTCCCGGTCAGATGTCCATTTAGACACTTACACAAAGACAGACATAGAGATACATAGACGTATGCCGAGCAAGGAAGTTGGGTCAGTTCTCGGACTTTTTGGCCGAGTGGCATCAATTTTTTAAAGCTTTGAATAAGGAAAAAATGTTGAGGAATTTTCGATTTTCCCTTCTAAATGGTTTGCATAATTCATGCATTTTTTATGCCAAACATTGGCGTTTTTTCTGGTCTCTCGTCCACACTTCACTCACTTATCGAAGAAGCCACCATTTAATATTTATCCAGCTGAGATTGAAACAGATTAATGGCTCCGAAATGGCATGAAAATTAATAATGCATTTTAATTAGTATTTTCTGTCTGGGGCGTTCGACCTAATGGATGCCGCTGAGGCACATTCCTTGCCAATATCTCCGTTCGCTCATCAGGAAGTTCATACAAATTTACATACGTACATATGTACTTTGTACGTGGAAGTGAAATTTTTGCGGGGAATAGAGAAATAGATGGAGAGAGGGATCAAAAAGCCAACCACAGAACACGAAAAATACCACAAAATGTAGTTCCTGCACCAGACACCATAACACACGCCCCCCTCTGCATTATAATCCGAACGTGCTCTACCTTTCGGTCTGAATTTATGGAAAACTGAGAAATGGATTACTTCGTACTGAGGGGCTCTAAGGTGTAAGGCAAGAGGGTAAAAGGATGTGCTTAATTATCACCATTGTAGACCGCTTGCGCAATATGTTCCATAATGTAATGTTGCAGCCGTTCTTAATGAGATATTGAGAGAGAGAGATATTATAACTCTCATCAAATTTGAATAATTCCTTGCGAATCGCTTTCGACAGTTTGTTCGTGAGGAATGACATTTTGTTGATTGAACATTTTCAATCGAGCACTCCGCTGTATTGTATTATCGTTGTACAGTTGTCGCTCAGTGAGCTGCACAGTCAGCGCCATTTAAATTTCACTCACGATTTTACCCGGATGAGCACTGCACTGTGCAGTGCTTCCAAGCAAACAAGCAAGAAAGGAATTACGCGAATCGAAAATCAACGGATGCGAAACGGATGTACGGGTACTCAGAGCCAGGACAGAACGGGCTACCCATCCTTATATATGTATCCTCCTCCGCATCCGTCTTCTGCAGCTGTCAGTTGGTAGGAAAAACTGTCACTGCAATCAGATGCAATTAGAGCTTCCAGTGCCTTATCACAAGGACAGACGAGACGGAGTTCGGCAAATGGAATCGAATGGAAATTGAAAACAAAAAAAGCGAAAGTGAATCCGTTCCTCTCTCCCTCTCTGCGCCCATTAGTGGATGTCACTGTTGTCCTTGTCAAACATGTCGGCTGTAAGGCCTCCTAGCTTTCTATTCGATTCAATTTGGGCCAAGTTTTGTGTGTACGAGTGTCGATACAATGCCTTGAAATGACATTACCATACGAGAAACTCACAAATATGTATCTTTTTTGAAGGGTTTGTACGAGTCGTAAAGGGAAATAAGTATTTTCTTATTAAGCTAAGAGAGTTCTTTAGAAAAGCCATAGTTTAACCTCAGAAAATGAAAAACGATTTGAAGAGCCTCAAATTTTGTTCGGACCAAGCCGCTCTACTTATCCGTATATCAATGAATACTCTTGTACATAAAGATTATCCCATGAAAATATAAGTGGAATTGTACTTAACTTTTTCCCGGACTCCGTCCTATCCTGTCCCACGCCTGAGTTGCACTTCAGAACTGCATTGACGCTGCAGCTGTCACATAAATAAATCGCAATCTTTAGCAGTTGTGGTGGACAGAGGCAGACATGCTCATTATTTTAAAATTCACTCCGAGCTCCGTCCAGAATGAAAGCATCCATACTCGTACAAGTACTCGCACAATAACCGGCTCTGATGCAGGCCCAAAAATTAATGAGTGGGTGTGCTCTCATGGCCTGAAGTTCCACAGAGAGTGAAAGAGATAAATCAAGGGAAAAGTTTTTGCTGCGATCCTTGGGATACCTCGTATTTCATGCGAGGATTCCATGGATTCCTTGGCGAAAAGCCACACGGCGATGGATTAGACCAGGTCGAGATGAAATACGGTCCAGAAGCGTGAGCAGATTTCGGGGCGCACCGCTTTATGGGCGACCATATAAAAGGTGTGTTGTTCTCCACCTATACGTTCTTGTTTCTTTTTATGGCCCTGCGTACCACCGTCCTGCCCGGAATGTCCATGCGCCCGAGTGTCGTTGGGCCGCCCGATGTGAGCGTTAGATGGCGCCAGGTGTGTGTACATTAAAAGCCATAAAAAATTCATAAAATGCAGTTCGCACGCCAAAAACCAAAAAGACCGCAACATATCCACAAATACATACGATTACTGTACGACGAAAGCATCCAACCATCAGAGTGTACACAAAACATAAATTTTAAAGTCCATAAAGAGTGTTTACGAGACCCCGCACACATGTGAGAACATCTGCATGTAAGCTCGAAACCCAGCCGTACTTACCTCAGAGAGCACATCATTACAGATTAAGAACTAGCCATGAGCCACCTTATTAAAGCCCTTACGAAAGTTGTGTGGCCTTCCTTTAGTTCTAAGAGCCCTGAGTGAAGGCTTTTTGATTTGGAGGTGTGGTAGGCTGATCTACAGTGGTACTGGAAAGCTAAATGTTTCCCAGTTCAATTCTGATTTTCAATTTAGTTCGTCTCAAGCCAAACGAAATGTCATCCTTCGGCTCACGTACGCGACATTTGCCAATTGCTGCGAAATTGCACACAAATTATATCAATCTCGAAGCGTAATCATTGAAAACTTATCAATTTTCTCCGGGTCCCGGGTGCCAGGCCACAGATTCAGCTTCCAGACAGGCATTCGCAGAGATGTTGTAAAAATGTAAGAAAATCAAATATTTATGATTCCGAGTATGTTTGAGCACAATTTCGCTGCTGTTGTAGCTGTTGAGGAGCCTGCGGCAAAAGTAAACTACAAAAAATTTTCCTTTTTCGGTTGCATTTCCGTTCGCCTTGGCATTTGGATTTATGAACGTGGCGTTTGAAAATTCAATTTAATTTTCATTTTTTCCGTGCCTCCGCTGCTGCCGCTGTCTCTCTGCTCTGCTGCTTTGGGATTTCCTATGCATTTTTGAGCCTCTCCTCCTTTGCATATTTCGTAAGTTATGGTTAGCCGAGAATTGTGTTAGCTGTGGCAGGGTACAGATTTCTCTGAGCCGCGAAAATGTTATTTTTTTCTCCCCCGAAATTATCTGCACAAGAGACCACATCTGAGCAGTCCTTAGATGTGGATTTTATAGCCTAACAGGGTGCTAGGTTCTCTGGCTCCACAAAAAGTGTGCACTGATACAGATCTGTATATTGGACGGAGTAAAGCAAAGGATAGTATCTACGCGTATGTAAGCATGTACTTCAATTGCCACAGCCATCTTCTGTGCATTCAATATGGCAATTTGATTCTTGTCCAATCGATAAACTCCATTGATGCTAAGAATGTTTCATTGTTAACCTAACCATCCTTCCCATTTCCATTTCCATTTCCACTCCCACTCCTACTTCAAGTGTTTCCTCGCCGATGCTGTTAGTTTTAGCTGTCGAGCTTCGAGAGGAGTAGCAGCAACAGCAACAGCAGCAGCGACTGGCAATGCATTATGCTAAAATGTCTCTAGTTCCATCCGTTGCTCCATCTATCTGACTATCTGTCTGTCTGTCTGTCTGCCTGGATGTCTGTCCGGGTGTTGGCAATGCATATTGTGCCCCGGCTGTCGGGAGACGGATTAAATTGCGACTTATGCTAAGCGGATGGGGCTGCGAGGGCAAATTGAATCGAAGCTCGTTTATTTTGCTCGTCTTGCGGCAAAGCATTGCCGCTGTCAGTGGATTTGTCACTGTCGTTAGAATCGTTCTTGTCGTGTCGAAGTTTCCAGGCTTATAAATGCCTGGCAATTGGCGATACAAAGGAATCCCGGCCAGCCAATTTCCATTACCCACAACTGCGAGTGCGATATCCCCACGGGCAGTGCATGAAACGGCCATTATCGGTTTTGCTTGGCCACAATTACACATTCCATAGGTACAAGCACTCTCTCAGATGCAGATAAAATGCCCAACCTGGAGGTGCACACTCGGCACTCCCCCTGTCTGACATTGTTCGCAACAAGCGCTCTTTATTCGTTTTGATTTTAGCTATGTTTAATTGTTCTGCAATTCCCATTGTATCAATATTATGGAATGGGTTATAAGAGCGTTTGCCATGGACATAATGCGGCCGCGATCAATCTTAAAGAGACCCATTACATAGAACTCCAGTGGATTTCGTGCCAACTGCAGTTGAAAGCTCTCAAACTGCAATGGAAAAAGTACACTTCAAATTTGATTTCGGATAAGAAAAAGAAACAAAAAACCCACCGAGCTCTTCAAGCGTTCATCCAGTTCCTCGCATAATAACGTTCGTTCTTCAAGTATTTTCATCAGCTCTGGATTGGAATCCATGATAATAAATCCAATATTGATGGTGATAAAGTTGTCCGCGTAGAAGAAGGTGGTGGAGAGGACGATCAGCAGCAGTCCCCAGTTTGAGGCGCCCAGTCCGGTGGAGCTGTACTTGATCGTGCAGAAGGCGAAGTAAATGGTGCCGATCGTAGAGAGGTAGTAGACGATGGTCATGCTGAAGCTCTGTATCTGGAATATCTTCGACATTCCGTCGACCAGTGCCTGCAGCTTTGACTGTGTCTCCGCTATCCTATCCAGCCGATCGGACAGGGCGCAGCATTTGGTAACAAACACGCCGCCCCGACGGTTGGTGCTCCCACAGAGGGCTTGGGTCTCCGTCAGCAGTTCACGGAGATCCCGCTTGATCAGTGTATAGCTGACATTGACTTGCAGCATGGCCAGGTAATACTGGGCCACGATCATATTGAATATGGTTGTGAACAGGTACCAGACTATCAGCTTCAGGGCCAGGGCCGGACTGAATTTCTGGCGGAGCGCGCTCAGATCCAATACCATATGAAGATTGTCTGACAGGACGGCGAATATAAACTTTAAAATAAGCCTTCGACGATATAGAGGTATCACATCAGGCCTTTGCTGAGTCGCACGGAATAATCGGTTCCAAATGAGTACGATGTCCCCACGGTGTCGCCATCGACTGACCAACGTGAGCAGAACTGCCCAATGGCGCACCGCAGTCACCATCAGGAACACGTACTCGTGCAGGTATTTGGCGTGTTTAAAGGTAAATAGTACCGTATCGCCGTGAAGGAGCTGGAACGTCAGCAGACCGATCAGACAGATATTTTGTACCGCCGCCTGGATCGTGGCCCAGCGGGTGATCATCGCTCGGCCTGTTCGCCAGTCCACTGTAAAGTTAACCACTCCTACCAATCGACCATAGAGGTAGACAAAGCGTTGAATTATCCAAACGAAGTCAGCCATACCGCACAACTAAAGGGGACTCGATGGAGGAGTCACAGTTGAGGTGGACTGGCAGGCAATCCAATCAATATGATATGACTTGTGGGAGCAGGGCAGGCTAATTGGCTCACGACAAATTACATCAGCGGGCACACAAGTGGTTTATTCAATAATTCTGCATATCGTATTGTATTAGAAGTACGGAGTTGATTAGTAAAGAATTACCCACGTCAAATGCAGAGGAACGATCCAACTTAAATAGCCCAAAACAGTGTAGTTGTAATGGATTGCGGGCCAGGCTCAGCTCGAGGCTATCAAACTGAAAGCAAATGAAGGTCAGGGCAGGGTGGTTAGGGCCAGGACTAATGGCAGGACTTACGGCTGACTCCAGTCGCTCATCCAGACCCCACGGAAAGAGGTTTCGCTGCTCAAGAAGCTTGTGCATCTCCTGATGGGCTTCCAGCAGGTAGAAAACATTGTAAGAGTTTATCAAGCAATCGGCATAGTAAAATACTAAGAAAGTAGCACCCGCCAGCAAGCTAAGCTTCGACCAACCCTGTGTTATGTTATTGTACTTGTAGATGCTAAACAACAAGTAGGCGTTTCCCACGGAGGTCAGATAATAGGTGCAGAAAAGGCATAGCACCTGTAGTTCATAGATCCTCGACATGCGCTCGATCAGCGCCTGCAATTCGGATTGGGTTTGCGCGATTTCATCCACTCGATCGGCCAGGAAACAGCATTTTGTGATAAAGACCCCGTTCTGACGCTTTCGCTTGGGTCCAAGGGACCGAGCCTCGGCGAGCACCTCTCGAAGATCCCGATTGAGCAGTTTGTAGTGGCCCCGGGCATTCCCCAGGGCAAAGTAATACTGAGTAATGATTACATTCATGACGGCGGTCACGGTCATGACACTCCAGATGCCAATGAGCAATGAGAAGGTTAGGCGATCCCACACCACCAAAAGGGCCATCAGAAACTGCATACTCTCGGCCACGGTGGCTATAAAGCATTTAGAGACGAAGCCACGGCGACAGTGCTGCATCACCTCAGTGTTCTTCAGGTACAAACGGCGAAAAGAGCTGATTAGTCGCATATACCGGCGACGATGATACCAGCGACCGGCTAAGGCCGCCAAAGCACAGGAGACGCGCATCCAAGCGACGACCGTGAAGACATTTTCATGCAGCGCATTGGCATTTGCCAATAAGTCAGACGTAGGTTTGACTCGCCAAAGATGGTGCGCCGGGATAGTTATCAAGAACAAGTGTGCCAACGCGGAATATATGGTGGTTTTCTTTGTGACCCGCGTTCTGCCCGTCTTTAAATCGATCTCAAAGTTGAGCGTACCGGTTACACGGCCATACAGGTAGCTGATGCGCACACACCATTTGACCAGGTCCGGCATTGTTAAACACTGAAAAGTAACTGTAACTTTGCCTGTGATGCATTAGGGAAAGCGATGAAAGGAGACTATCTAGAATCGGTCAATTTGTTGAATGAGTTTGGGCCATAAATAGGTGGGGAAATGGGGGAACTTATCAGCGCCGATGGTTCGGGGGAATCCAAGCTATCAGGATAGTGATATTATCTGAACGGTGAACCCCTTCTTTGGTAATTGTCGTGGGGGGCGCTCTTCACAAATGGTGACTCCGACGTTCATTTCTGAAACAAATTCGTAACAGAATATTATTTCATTCAAAAAAAATTTTTCCATAGGTTCCATTGTACTCCCCCCTCATGGCTATTCGTGAACCGCAGATGGATTGTGCTGCGTAGCCATATGACCTACCCCTGGGCGAACGTCTGTGGAAAGTGTTAAACATCTTGTGCTGCATTCTTGTTTGCAGTTGGATTCCGTAGTTCATAGCTTGACAAACATGGCCCTGTTTCGAGAGCACAAAGATGTCGTCGCTGACATCGAGGATGAGAGGGAGGATGGGGATGAGGCTGCTGATGTTGCACCAGCGAAATTCTAAGCCCGTAGATTGTTTGCTCAACACTTATTTTTAGTGAAAAGCCCGCAGAGGCAGCAGTCAAGCAGCTTGGCAGGGAGGTATGTATAGGTATAACCCACTGAAAAGCATACATAACTGAAACTGAAACTTCGACGTGGCCTCGTCACTCCCCGTTCTGAAGTGCATATTAAACACAGCGTAAGAAAGCGAGAGGAAGCCCCTCAGGTCGCCATCTGTGGCTGATGTCAGCGACGTCTCAAGAGTTGTGCCAAAGTGCCAAGGGCCACCCAACCACAAAATGCAAGGATGCTCAGCTCTTGCTTTAAATACCACCGAAAACATGCCCCAACTGTGTCTTTAAATTCAATTTATTATGGTCACATCTCTATGCTGGGAAATTCAAATGAATTTTTATAGTTTTGCATTTGTCATGCTGTCAAATGGCAGCAGAGGAAAAAATGTGGCAACGGCAACTGCAACAACAATGCAATTTCGCGCATGGCGGGTGTCAAAAATGTTGTGAATTTAGCCGACAAATCAAATTCCAAAAAAACCATACACGCTCGCATCTCACAAATGCGACCGTCATGCAAAAACAGGAAACGGATGCGGATTCAAAATGGTTTCTGATTGCATGGAAATCCAATGCAGCACTCGACCAAAAAGTGTTGCATACTTGCGGGGAGCGTCAGCCATCGCATGACATGGGAAAATGTAGAGGACAGGTCCTCGCTGGGGACCTAATGAGAATGTATACATCAGTAGATTAAGGATTGTTCCGTTTTTATGCCAGCAAACATTGCAGCATGATACGAGTCAGATGATGGACAGATACAATTTTAATCATTGAATCTATGCTATAGACCCGTCTAACTAGAAATTTTAGCATTTACCAGACATTATAAGTTCAATGAGTATACAGCTCTGACATTTTCGCCGCAAGTTTCTGGTTTCTTCTTGACATTCATCAAAGTTTGCTGCTACTCTAGCTTCTGACATTCGTTTAAAGTTGCCGAAGTCATCTCGAAAGTTGTAGATACTCATATTCCCTGCAACTCAAGTGCAGACGCCATTAATTAATATAAATGACGACAGTTTCTAATGTTTGTCCTCGCGCTGGTGCTCCAAACTACCATCTAATCACCATCAGCCGCCTCTACATTCACATCCTCATATGGGTTGTTGAGGGTGAGGGACAACCACATTTACATCAGCGTTTTTGGGTGGCAAGGAAACATGTCCCGCTTGTGTGGGTAAAGAAACATGTCGCGTTTGTTGGATGTCATTAAAAAAAATGAAGCAAAAGTGCCTCTTACATTACAACCCATAATTTTCGCATATTAGTCGGCAGTAAGCAGTCGCGTAGTGGGGACTGGCAGTAGACTATGTGCGGGAATCATATGCACTTGACATGCAATTGCGTGCCGAGGGTCCCCTCGCCTCGCCAAGAATGAAGGACGAAGAACGACCGAGAGCCAAGGAAGAACGTTGGAAAATTCGCCTGGCTGAAAATTAAAACATTATTCATAAGCAGACGTCGACATCGACGGGGACTACTACGATGGCGGGAGCCAAGGATACCTACCCACTAATGGCATGCTACCCGACCCGAATCCCCTGTCTAGGTGGATGCAGCGGCGGGACCTCCGTCTGGTCGTTGCTTTTAGTACTATTCAGGCACTAACGAGTCCAAAGCTTTGGTAACTGTAAACTTTACGTGCCATCAGGTTAGTCGGCTGGGGCTCTCTCCCTCGAGCTCTCTCCACCGAGCTCTCTCTGTGGGTTCGAGCGGCTTCGACATCTTGAGTGGCTCTGAATGTAATCAAGAGCGATATCAAAGTCTCCCGTGTGAGTTTCTAATGAACTGGCGTGCCAGAGGTTCTTAGTTCTTTGCCTCTGGTCCAATTTATTGAGCTATAAAGGTGTCAAAATGTCTACTCTTCTCACCTTCCAGGCATATTCGTTCATTGTGAATAATTAAGAAGACGTTTGCGTGTGGCTATCCCTTCTGCTGATGGTTTTCCCCCCGGCATCACCATAAAAAAATCTCATTAGGCCAAATGTGTATCATAATGACTTTCCATTTGCCTTTGCCAAGGCTCCTTCTCTTCTCTTCTCTTCTGAGATGGTCCCTCTATTTTTTCCTTTGCAATGTTTGAATTGGGTTTGGTAATTCATTAGGGCCAGGTAAATGAATGAATATGGGAATGGGTATTGGCATGAAAATGGGAATGGGAATGGGAATGGGGATAGATCTCGTTAGTTAATCATTGACTCGAGATTAGAGCTCTTGCTTGGGAGGCTATTGAAGAGTTTGCTTTTGCTTTGAGTAGAATTACCTTTAAATGAGTATTTCAGAAATGTAGGCACATACACGTACTGGAAGTTTTCAGTGGGTTTTGTGAATTCGACCAAAAAGTTCAGACTTCAAAACACTGTTAACGATTCTCGTATTTGCGCAATTTTATATGCATTAGCTGTTACTGTTACTTCGTCATCATTAGCCGACACCCTACCGATACCCTACTACGAGCACTATAGACGCCCCTTGGGGGCGTGTCTGCTTTAATTACATGCTAATTATCAAAAAATGACTCGCGAGAATCCAGCTGAATGAATTGCACTTCTTGTTGTATAATTTTTGTGGACCTAATCCCTCTGTGTGTGTGCCTGATTAATTTCCCTTTTAATAACCCCCACAAACATCTCTTCCTTTCCTATAGAAAACTGAAAGCTATAGAGTTGATTCAAGTCCATATATTTTGTGGGGAATAGCAAAAGCTGTTGGCAGTAAGTAAAATTCACAGCCAAAAATGGGATCAAGTTGTGGTTGGACTTGGGCTCGAGTTGTCCTCGAGTTCTTGTCCGGACATGGCTTCTGTTCGATTTGCGATGCTTTTGTGGTCAGTGTGAAGGATGTGGCTCTGTGGACCCTTTTCAGGAATCGTGTGAAATATGCGGAGCACTCGGACAACTCTTTCTATTCCTGGTCCTTCTGGAAACTTTTGTTGTTTGTTGGTCAAATTGTCGTAAATTAGTTTTAACACCTGACTGAGTGGCTTT